CATTCACATCTTGTGTATAGTTTTACTGTAGTTAGATAACTTAGGATCAAACATTCACATCTCGTATATAGTTTTACTGTAGTTAGATAACTTAGGATCAAACATTCAGATCTCGTGTATAGTTTTACTGTAGTTAGATAACTTAGGATCAAACATTCACATCTTGTGTATAGTTTTACTGTAGTTAGATAACTTGGGATCAAACATTCACATCTCGTGTATAGTTTTACTGTAGTCCATCTTGTGTATAGTTTTACTGTAGTTAGATAACTTGGGATCAAACATTCACATCTTGTGTATAGTTTTAAGTTAGCTTACTACAGTGGGATCAAACATTCACATCATGTGTATAGTTTTACTGTAGTTAGATAACTTAGGATCAAACATTCACATCTTGTGTATAGTTTTACTGTAGTTAGCTAACTTAGGATCAAACATTCACATCATGTGTATAGTTTTACTGTAGTTAGCTAACTTAGGATCAAACATTACATCTTGTGTATAGACTACAGTAAAATTTGATCCCAAGTTAGCTTTATTCACATCTTGTGTATAGTTTTACTGTAGTAAGCTAACTTGGGATCAAACATTCACATCTTGTGTATAGTTTTACTGTAGTAAGCTAACTTGGGATCAAACATTAACATCTTGTGTATATGTATATTTAAAAAAAACTTTTGGTTTTGGTGTTTGTACGTATGTGTTTGAAGGTGTTATCGATAACTCATTTTAATTAATCAGAGTGTAATTTTAAGCGCAAAGTAATTGTTATTTGTAAATTTATAACGTTCGCTCACACCTACACAAGGGTTAGCAGCACATAGCTGTCAATCAATCATGAACTGATAAATTCCAAGAAAAGTAAGCAAGTCAACAGCACCCATCGCCATAGATTCCAAGAAAAGTAAGCAAGTCAACAGCACCCATCGCCATAGATTCCAAGAAAAGTAACAAGTCAACAGCACCCATCGCCATAGATTCCAAAAAAGTAAGCAAGTCAACAGCACCCATCGCCATAGATTCCAAGAAAAGTAAGCAAGTCAACAGCACCCATCGCCATAGATTCCAAGAAAAGTAAGCAAGTCAACAGCACCCATCGCCGACTCTTAGGATACACTTGTCAGATTAGATAGTCGAAGATGACAGTTACTCTTCTATTACTCCTTCAGCCCCAAAGTGCGGAGTTCATTTTTGCGTCAAAATGTCACGAAGCATGAATCCTCGGATTCAGAATCTGAATTCGTTAACAATTTGGCCACGCCTGACCCAACACGCTGTTAGAATTTATCGCACATAAATTAAAGTTTGTCTCAAATATATTAGGAGTTATCTTAAAAATTACATATTTTATTTGAGAAACGTCACGATCATATTTTTTCTAGCCTTTCATCTCTTAAATAAATGAGGAGATATGTAATACTTTCAGTAATATATGGTCTGTTGAGCTTTAAAGACGGTCCCGTTAATTACCTTAAAATAGATATCAAAGCATATATTTGTCCAATTTACTATTAAACTTACATATACATACAATTAAAACGAGTACAACGCTAAAATAATTTCACAATCAATAATTTATTAAAAACACGGACTACTTTCAAAATGACTCAACACGTTTTGGTGTTCTTACGCCACAATCTTCTGGAATAAACGTTGACTTATATACTACATAATGATTTGTATTTTATTAGCGCCATCTAGACTTAAAATACCCAGAGTTTATAAAACACATGTCCAGTACTTTGTTTCTACTACACTTGGACCAACTTCTTTGTTCAGCACAATATATTTGTTTTTTGTTTGTTTGTTTGTTTTTTCAGTCTATCTTGTTTCTGTAATACTTAATTCAAATCTCAATTCCATCTGATTTATCAATTTAACGTTACTTCAGTCTATAACATGAAACGTGCCTGACACACGTTGTGCTAAAGCAGACTCAGTTACTTCGATAAATATATCTCACAAAAGAGTAGAAAATCAATAGATAAACGGACAACTAACAATGAGATCCAAAATTCATAGACAGGCTCAACGATAAAGGTTTAAGATAAGTGTTTTATTTTACTTCTTGTTTGATGTGTGAGTTGGGATGGAAAAAGGCCTGTCTGTGCTGGTATAATGTTTCCATATAGATATACTGAAATATGTTTATCAAGCAGTACAACCATATTTAACGTGTTGTTTTTACCTAGCTTTATTCTTATTTTATTTACTTATTATTTTAGTGTTAGGAAGCAGAAAAAACACGAATCCTGTGAGACTCAACAACGGAAAAACTGGACCCATGGATTACACTCGGTACGTAAAGAGGTGAGTAAGGCAAAGTAACTTATAAAAGGATATCTCCCCCATGGATTACACTCGGTACGTAAAGAGGTGAGTAAGGCAAAGTAACTTATAAAAGGATATCTCCCCCATGGATTACACTCGGTACGTAAAGAGGTGAGTAAGGCAAAGTAACTTATAAAAGGATATCTCTCCCCATGGATTACACTCGGTACTTATAGAGGTGAGTAAGGCAAAGTAACTTATAAAAGGATATCTCTCCCCATGGATTACACTCGGTACTTATAGAGGTGAGTAAGCCAAAGTAACTTATAAAAAAGATATCTTCTTGACTGAGTGACTCACTTAATATGAATATCTTAGATATGTAAGGTCTGAAATTGTTTTCTTTGTTTGTTTTTGAATTTCACGCAAAGCTACACGAGGGTTATTTAGACTAGCCGTCCCTCATTTAGCAGTGTAAGACTAGAGAGAAGGCAGCTAGTCATCACCACCCACTGCCAACTCTTGGGTTACTCTTTTACCAACGAATAGTGGGATTGACCGTCCCATTATACCGCCCCCACGGCTAAAAGGGCGAGCATGTTTGGTGTGACGGGGATTCGAACCCGCGACCATCAGAATGCGAGTCGAGTACCCTAACCACCTAGCCATGCCGGGCCTGAAAATGTTTTGACGCTCATTTCAGGGTTTGGGTTTTTTTTTTTGAGGAAAAAAAATTAAGAATTAATTTATTTTACAGTAAGCGTTCAAAACATCCTGAGAAAATGTTTCCTCTGGTGTTCAGTACTAAGAAATAAAAGCAAAATCCTAGAGAAAGAAGGGATTTATAGACCAAAAAGAAAAAAAGATATTTTACTGGATTTACTTATAAATGTATTATGTTTCAAGAGTAATAAAACCAGAATTAAGAGTAACAAATATTTTTATTCCTTGCTTTTCAAGTTTGTATGTCATGTTGCGTTTTAGCCTACAGAGTGCATATTTCTTCTCGTGATTCATGGCATGCGCACGTTTTAGTGACGTGACGACAGTACAAATTGCAACTTTAAATGCCCATTATATGACATCATTTTAGTTTCTACTGACTTACTGACAGACAAAACACTGCTGTATAGTGGTGCGAGTGGGTTTAAACAGGTGTCCTCCTTTGGGGGAAAATATTTCGTTAAATATGATAAACTATAAAGCTTAATTAAAGAGCAAGTGTTTATTAGACACTAAAAAATAAAAACTTGTATATTTTGTTTCTCTATTGAAAGGATAATAATTTATATTTTTTCCCAATATATATATATAAAAGATACAGCATTAATTGTAAGATGCAAACTATATCAAAGAAAACATTAACGTACCATATGTGCAAGAACCTCGTAATTCATGTATGTATGTTTTCATTCAATGTATATATATCTTAATATTTTGTTTCGTTATGCAGATTTGCAAATGCGTCGGAGTGCGGGAGTAACTACTGTAAAGACTTAAATTACCGAGAACATTTCCATTGTCTTGATTGCAATTCCAGGGTACGTTTTCTCGACCTACTACAGTAGCAAAAAATATTAGATTTAGAATGTATGACGTCGGCCTTTCGTGGACGGTGAGATTATAATATTATGAGGGGTGGTAGTCAGATGTCTTAACGTGAGTTAATACGTTGATGTTTTTATTGTTAGTTTAGTTTGTATTCATAATAAACCACATAGAGAGATACAATACGTTCGATGTGACATGTTAACTCTAATATTACCAGTGGAGTCCATATACATTTTAAAACTATTTATAAACCAGATTGCTTGTAGGTCGACGATTTCATTGATTACAGGGTCCACAATTACGTATAAAAGGAGTGATTTGATCCAAAATTTAGGTCCGTTCGTTCTTTGCTATGGGTGTTGTAACGGGAAAAATACAAAATCGCCCGATATAATGCAGCACGTGGACCCCCCCCCCCCAGATGTCGGGAATAGGAGGATTTATATTACGACTTTGATATTTGTTGCACTTCAACAAATTATGTGACACTTAATCACACAGTTTATTTATTTTTATTAAATGTAAACTCTTCCTTTGTTTTATCTTCATAATTGGGGCGTGGTTGTTTTTATTAATTTTACATTTTTCGGGGTCTTAAGACGGTATTTTAGTCAATATTGTATATGGTTGAAAGAATATATATCCGTTACAACCCCAAACACTATCTAATAACTTACTGAGTATATATTGCACTATATGGTGACTTGTTAGGCCTAGTTTTTTGTTCCTTATCTTGTGGAATCATTACCCTTAAACCTTCTCGAAGCTGGTTGATTAACAACAGTATTTACACTCACAATTCTATGATTGAGTAAAATCAGCTCCAAGATAAATGAACCACTTAATAAGCACTTAAAAGAGGAGGAAACTCGGAATGTCTTTCCGTTTGTTATAACAATGACGACATTTTTAATCTATCATTCCCACGATCTTTTCAAAAACTAAGAGCATGATTTTATTATCGTTTTTTTTTTTTTAGGATTTCCGTTACGACGATCATGAAAATAATCAATTCGTCAGATAGTTCATGAGAAAGAGCTCGAGCACGGAACCGCTGGGGACAGTGGCTCTACTTAATAATAGGCATAATCTTTAATACTTGTTTTTGAGAACGTGGTTAAAGCACTGGGTTCGCACCATTAAGAGACTCTGATATTATTATTGTTTTGTTTTTTTTAATCAGGTATTTGTGAAGAAGGAAGAAATGATACGACACTTCAAATGGCACAAAAAACGTGACGAGTCTCTTCAACACGGCTTCATGAGGTATAGCCCGATGGACGACTGTTCGGACAGGTTTACGAACTGTTCTCATAACCGGAAGCAGACCCATTACCACTGCCTGAAGGTGAGATTTGCTGACAGTTTTAATGTGTACCGGTCAACAAACTATTTCAGTTTTCATTGAATGCGATGTTCTCTCGTTTTCGTGGCATTACAACACTTTACAACAATAGTAACCTGTACAACACTTTACAACAATAGTAACCTGTACAACACTTTACAACAATCTGTACAACACTTTACAACAATAGTAACCTGTACAACACTTTACAACAACCTGTACAACACTTTACAACAACCTGTACAACACTTTACAACAACCTGTACAA